TTCCTGGTCTTTTAATTACTATGATACAGGACCAAAGATTTTGTGTTCCCTTGTCATGTTAATCTATGTACCATAGATAAGTGAGATCCTTTAGTATTTGACCTTCTTCTTCTGACTTACCTCACTGAACAATGATAACCTACAATTCATCCAAGTTGCAGTGGATTTCATGATTTTATTTTTCTTTGTGACTGTGTACTATTCCATACCACATTTCCTTTATCCATTCATTTGTTATTATTGGACGCCTAGGTTGATTCACATTCTAGCTATTGAACTAAGTGCTGCAATAAAGTATGTATGCACATATTCCTTTCAAACAATTGTTTGTTGTTGTAGCTGTTGGACCATATCCAGTGGTACTTAGGGATTACTCCTGGCTCTATGCTCAGAAAACTCCTGGTAGGCTCAGGGTACTATATGGAGTGCCAGGAATTGGAACCTGGTCAGCTTTGTGCAAGGCAAAAACCTTATCAGTTCTTCTATCTCTTTATTTAAATGAATGTTTTGTATCTTGGGGGATAGATACTGCTAAGTGAATTTATTGGGTTGTAGAAAAGCTTTGTTCTTTTTTTAATTTTTAATTGAGGCACTGTGATTTACAAAGTTGAATAATGAACTTTGTAAATGAAATGAAAATGATTGAATTTCAGGCATACAATGCTTCAACAGAGTTCCTTCACCAACATTCACTTTCAGGACAGACAACTGATGTTCCCAGTTATCTTCCCACCACTCAGCTTATCCCTATGGCAGGCACCTTATTTATATTTTTCCCTTTAGGCATTGTGTTCGTAAAATAATGTTGCTGATAAGGTTGCATGAATGAAACTTTATCACCTTCCCTCCCCCCCACCCCAACACACACACATGCACACTCTTTGGTGTCAAGCTTCCTACTGAGGTCCAGTTCTCAGGAAAACTATATTCTTTCCTTTTGGAGAAATTAATTTCCATACAGATTTCCCTTAGGGGTTGAACACCACAACATTCTTCAGTGGATGAGAGTTTCTTTTTCACCACTTTGCTGCCACACAGGCTGTTTCCATTCTTTTTGGTATGGGCCATCCTCACTGGTAGTATCTAATTGTCATCTTGACTTGGATATTCCTGATAATAGGTGATGACATGCACTTTTTCGTATACCTACTGGACATCCATCTGTCCTCTTCATAGAAGTCTAGAAAAAAATCTAAAGACTTAATAGCAATACAAAAATTAGCCATGAATCAAGGGGATGAGATCCCAGAAAGGAAGCAAATGTGAGGTGAGGGTTGGAGATTCTTTGATACCTTTCCTTCCAATGGATTTTCTCATACATAAATGGTGGAAACTAATAAATGGAAAACTTAGCAGAGATTTTCAGATTTATTTATTTTTTATTGTTTTTGGACCACACCTGGTGGTGCTCACTCCTGGTTCTGTGATCAGAAATTACTCTTGGTGGTGCTTGGGGAACCATATAGGACGTGAGGAATTGAACCTTAATATGGGTTGGCCATATGCTAGGTAAATGCCCTACCTTCTGTGCCATTGCTCCAGCTTCTAAACTTTAATTTTTCAGGGCCACTCTGGTGGTACTCAGGGACTCACAGTGTTAAGGGGACCACATGGTATGAGAAAAATCTAACTAATGCAAGGCTTGAGATCTACCAGTTTTTTGTTTTGTTTTGTGTTTGGGTCACACACAGTGGTGCTCGAGGGGTAACACATGGTTCTGTACTCACGAGTCACTCCTGGTGGTGTACAGGAGATGGGATGCCGGGAATTGAACCCAGGGTGGCTGTGTGCAATGCAAACATCCTACCCTCTGTACTACCACTCTGGCCTCAGCTCTACTCTTTTGAGTCCTCAAAAACTTCTTACAATCTTCAAGCTAAGACTATAGTAAAACCATACCCTATAAAGAATTGTTAATCAGAAATGTACGGTTTTCATAAGGAGTTGAGTCCAGATACAAAATTGTCCTTGGCTAGGTCAAATGCAATCTTCAGTCAATTCAGCTTCTGATTATCTCTATAACTTTAATTGACAATGTTTGACATTTATAGAACATTATCAGGCACTCCAGAGGCAGGATGAAATGACCAAAATTCAAGAAGAAAAGGTAACAAACCCAAAGGACCTCCTAATGTTGGCACTTACATTCATGAACTCAAAATAACTATAATAATAATAATATTTTATTTTATTTAAAAATTTATTTTATTTTCATAAAGTTGTTTACAATAATTAAATAAATTCAATATTCCAACACCAATCCCACCACCATTATACCTTTCCATCACCATATTTCAAATTTTTCCACTCCAACACCCCCTAAAGACTGCCCCTAAAGCAAGACCTAAATAATTTATTTTGTATTGCTTGTTATGAATAATCTGCTATAATGATAAAAATTTTCCTTGGAAAAAATTATATATATACATATATGTATATATAAATATTTGCTTTTTGGGTCACACCCAGCGATCAAAGAGGTTACGACTGGCTCATACATTCTGGAATTACTCCTAGTGGTGCTTGGGAGACCATATGGGATGTTGGGAATCAAACCAGGGCTGGCTGCGTGCAAGGCAAACGCCCTACCGCTGTGCTATCGCTCCAGCCCTTTGGGTGGTGAGGGCAAAGTAGATTCACAATTCAACTCTTTTAACTATGAAAAGCAAAAGTTGCAGTCGAGAGATGGGCTCAAGTGGTAGACTCATGTGGGGAACGGCTCCAGTGGCCCCAGAACCCCAAAGACTAAACTTGAACCCCATGTCGGTGGAACAGTTTCCTTCTTTCCTCTTTTTTTTTCTGGGCCTCACCAGGCGGTGCTCAGAACTTGTTCCTGACTGCACTCAGGGGTCACTCCTGGAGGTCCTCAGGACCCTATGCCAGGCCAGGGATCAAAGCCCCATCAGCCTCAGGCAAGGCGAGTGCCCTACCAGCTGCTCTCCTAGCTCTCGGGCCCCCATGTTTGCATTGTCATCCACAGACAAACGCTTCGCGCGGGCAGGATGAACCTCTGGACCTCCCAGTCCAAGCTGCGCCTGGGAGCACACAATCAGGCAGTTACGTGTTCTGGCTGGGAGGCCGACGCTGATGGTGCCAGCTGGACTCACATGGAGACACGGTGGGAGGCGACGGGGAGGGGAGGAGTTACACCATCACAAAGCAGTAATAGGACACACTGGAAAAGGTCCCTTTTCCCTCCGAAACCACTCAGGAGACAGAGAACCGAAAAGCACACGGTGACTCCGGCATGGGCCTTCGCTCACACCCAGAAGTGTCACACTGCTGAAACGAGGTCTCTGGCAGAGCTCACCACGGGCACCGCGGCTGGCCTGGGACGCGACTCCGGTTCCAGGCACAAGATGTTCTCAGACACAGCAAACACACAAGCCCACGGAATCCGGGACTCAGGCAGCTGATTTTTCTCCTGGTGCCATGGCAGCGGTGGCGGGGACACAGACAGGAGAGACTTATTACCAAGAGTGATGACATTTTTGCCAAATCAGAGCCTAAACCGAGGACATAGAAAAACAGGATAAAATATCAGAGGGACTGCATTAGTTCATACTTCACCCTGAACAGAGACAAAGCTTGTTCACTATAAAAGCCACAACTTCAGAAGTACTCGTGTAGGTCATTAAGAGAAAAGAAATGAGGGCTGAGCAGTGCCTGCCCAAACAACCCCCCACAGCCACGCACTCCCACAGTCCGAAATTGCTGCCATGGCCCCCATGGGCAAGACTCCATCTTCTCGGGATGGACCCCGTGGAGAAATTAAATGGATGCAAACTCAGGTATACAGGATTCGTGACTGAAATCTCCAGGCTTTTTCAGAGTTGGGATGGGCCACCTCCCCCCTCCCCCATGTCCTTGTACTTCCAGAAGCCCCAGCAGCTTTTGGACATCCACACTCCAAAGCTGCCACCCAGACAAAACATCAACTCCAGTAAGTAGTACCTTCCCAATAAAATACTGAACTTCCCAATAAAAAGACTTAACTTTCTGACATCTCAAACTCTAAAACACTGATAAACCAGTAGTAGCACACCAGATTGGAGAAGGGACCCATCTCGGTTAACAAAACAAACACAGGAGGCTGAACCTATCACAACATCTTACAAGGACTCAATGTCTCCATAAGATACAACAATTGATTGATTGGTCCGTGGTTGGAGGCCTGCCCCAAGCGCTGGGGAGAAGGCAGTTGGGAGAGAGAAGGGATCATAAGGACAGTGACAGTAAGAAACGATCACTGGGTAAGATCTGAGTGCTGAAAGTCCCGTAAGGAACAGAACAGGATGACCTCTCTGTGCCTGAATTGCAAACCATCACGCCCCAAAGGAGAGAGAAAGAAGAAAGGTGCCTGCCTCTAAGGCAGGGTGGAGGGGTGGCGGGAGGGAACTGGGTGGGAAACGTCCGCTGGTGGAGGGATAGGTGGCGGGAACATGGCGCGACTGAAACCGGATCTTGAACAGCCTTGCAATGGTGCATCTCATGGTGATCCTATGAAAGGAACTTCAAGAAAATAAGTGAGGGCTGGGAGGGTAGGCCCCCTGGGGTTTGCATAGGGCGGGGGAGGGCAGGTTCCACCCCGGCAACGCAGTAGTTCCCCCCATCACCGCCAGGGGTCCGTAGTGAGCAGAGCCAGGAGCAGTACCTGCCTCCAGGTGTTCCCGGGTCTGCAATACAAAGAGAGAGAGATGAGAAGAGTGGGGTGGGCAGGGGGAGAGGCGACAAAGGCCAAAGAAAAGCAAAGCAACAAAACAAAACAACAAAAAACACCAAGCTGCGGAAGAAAGGAAAACAGTCTGAAAGAGCCCGAGAGGGGGGCGCACCCTCTGCGCCCTCGGAGACCCGGGCAGGGCTCTGCACGGAGGCGCGCCTGCACGCACAGGTCCGGGCGGCCAAAGGGAAACAATGTTGCAGCGGACAGGGCCGCTTGCAACACTCAGCACCCGCGGGCTCCCTTCCGGGCTGAGCTCTGTCCCCGCGGGCCGCACAGGTCAGCCCTGCGCGTCCTCACGCTGAGCCGCCTGCACTTGCACAAAGGGCCGTGCTGAGCCCACGGGAGGCCCCGCGAGTGGGCACCAAGAGGGACCGCTGGTTTCCCGACAAGACCCCAGAAAAATCCTTTCTGGTCTTCCCGGAGCAGGGACTGCGGGTGGGGAGCAAAGGGGGTGGCAGGGGTTGGGAGGGCGGTGTTGCGGGGATCTGGGCTTTCTGCAATTTCTCCAGGAGGGTCCAAAGCCCCCACTCCCCACCCCGGCAGCCACTGGATCAAAGTTCCCTCCTGCAGAGCAGCGGGGGTGGCTCCCTCCCGGGGCACCAAGTTTTGGAACTCGGAGCTCCACCTCGGAGCTGGAGGGCGAGGGATGAGTGTTGGCCCTGAAATCAGGAAAAATCGGGGCGGGGGAAGGGAGGGGCCCTCCTGCGCCCCTGCCGGGCCTGGGAAGTCCCTGGACACCCTCTGCCTCCACACAAGGCGTGACTCAGGGGCGCCGCCCGCCACCCCCCACCCCTCCCCGGGGCAGAAGCTTGGAGGGCTCACCCGCGCCCGCTCGCCCCAGGCACGCAGCGGTCACTCTGCTGGGCCCGGGAGGGCGTGTGGGAACGAGCAGATGTAGCGGGAGCGCCCACCCTCCCTGCCCGAGGCGCGGGGAGGGGGGCCGTGCCCGGGCCCTTACCACCCCTCCGCTGCAGAGGACGCGTCCGCCCCGCCCGGCTATTCTTCAGACCCATCGCGGGGCACTGGGTCCCGAGGAGGCCGGAACTGGCTAATGTTTTAAATGCTGAATGTCTTAGTCAAAAGTGAAGCGTCATGAAAAAACAAGGGCCACCCTCTCCCAGCCCACTTGGGGTCCTGGCTGTCACGCCCCTGATCTGCCTCCAGGCACCATCTCAGGCCATCAACAGCCTTGATCCTGAGCCGCCCAAAGGAATCTCAAAATAGATTAGCTCCCTACAGAGATGTCTCTGGACCCTAACCATTTACAATTTTAGAATTCTAGAAGACCTCTCATGATATTCATAATACGCAATACAAAATAAATGATCTAGCATCTGCCTCTGGCAGGCAGGCTTGAATGGTGGTGGGGAAATTTGAAATAAGCGTGGTGAGAAGGTGTAATAGTGGTGGGATTGGTGTTGAAATATTGAATGTAATCAAAATAATGTGAACAACCTTTTGAAACAACAAAAACAACAACAACAAAACCCAACAAGGGCCAGAAAAATAGTATAGGTATTTGCTTTGTACCCCACTGACCTGGGTGGGATCCCCGGCACCCCACATGGTTCCCCAAGCCTTACCAGGAGTGATTCCTGAGTGTAGAGCCAGGGGTAAGCCCTGAGCACCACGGGGTGTGGTCCCCAAACTAACAACCAAAATAAAACATAACATGGAAGCAACACAGCAAAGAAATATTACCTGATTCTCCTGGGCCCTTTCGTCCTCATCTGCTTGAGAATCAGAATTACCTTTTAGTTGAAAAAATAAAGAGTGAGTGTAGGTCTTTGAAAATGTGCCTTTTTAGGGCAGAAACAGTTCAGCAGGTAGGGGGTTAGATCTCTAGTCCCCTGAATGTCCCCTGAGCAGGGTGATCCCTGAGCAGAGCCAGCAGTAAATTCTGAGCACTGCAAGGTGTGACGCCAAAACCAAACTAACCCCCATCCCCAAAGTGCCTTTTCGCCTTGTTTTGGTCTCTTATTTTGGCGCCAGTGTTGCGGACCCATGGACCCTACCAAGAACCCATGCTCCGGGCAGGTGCCCAAGTTCACACTCCCGTGCAGCCAGCTGGGGGAGGGGGGCAGGGCAGGGGGTTGGTGCCCCCGGAGGTGTGGGGAAGGGCGGAGAGCAGGCACCCCTCAGCAGAAGCATTTTACCTGCCCAGATCAGGAGCTGCCTTTTGTTGTCTTTGAGTTGAAGCTCCAAGTGTTTGACCTTGAGCTCCAGCTTCACCTTGTCAGATTCCAGGGACTGAACAACTGAATGCAAGGACTTGGTGGAGGCATTTTCTCCCCTGAGCAAGGAGACCTGCAACACAGGGGTGTGGCTGAGGCCTACGTGGCCACGGCTGTGACCCCCCCGCCCCCCCTCATGTGGGCATGGCCTGGGCCGACATGGGAGTGGCTCAAGCCGGAGTGGGCATGGCTCAGGCCAATGTGGGCGTGGTTCAGAGGGAGATGGGCGTGGCTCGGCCAATGTAGGCGCGGCCCGGACTGAGATGGGCGTGGCTCAGTCCACATGGGCGGGGCCGGGACTCGACCTCATTTCTCAGCTTCTCCAGCTCTGTGTCCTCCGCGAGAAAAAGAACTGGTAATACTGATGGATTTCTGCAGGGAAGCTTTCTCTTCATCGGACTCTCTTATGAACTCGGATTCTCTAAAAGACCAAAGTGTTCAAAATGCCAGAAATCAACCCAGAGAGAGGCCAGTACACAACTGCCCTAGAATGGACATTCAATCACTCCCAGGACTATTGCGGGGGGAGGTGCCCAGGCTTTTACCCGTGCAAAATTTTAGTGAAATTTTACTTACTGTGAGGGAGAAAAAGTTTGCCTATGTGTACATGCCAGAACCTGCATATCATTGTGTCCATGTGAATTTAAAGAAACAAGTTAATAACTTTGGGAGATGGAGAACACAAAGAAAAAAGAAAAAGAGGACTTGTTGCACCCCCACCCCACGCCCCCAAAAAAGAATTCTTTTAAACACCTAATCCCAGGTTGAAGTGCTATTTCTTGAATAAATTATTACCAAGCAATGACAACAATTAAAACACACACACATATGCAAAGCAATTATACAAATGTCTTGCAGAGCGGCTTTATGCTGGGAGTATCCACTGGTTCTCACGCAGTTCAGTAACTTTCAGCAAGTTCAGAGAATGTGTTTTTGAAACCTTTCTGAGCCAGAACAGGGGCAAAGATTGTTCCGACTAATCCAACAGAGAATGATTTTCATCCAGTCTCTGGAGAGGACCAAAGTGAGTTGCTCTTAAACAAAAAGGCAATTCGCAAAAGGCCAGAACAGAAAGATGCACATGGGCTTCTGGTAGAGGATGAGAGCTCGGGGCACACAGAGCCTGTGGCCTCACACCCTCTGCCAGACTCTCCTCCGGGCTGGCTTGCAGAGCAGGAGGAGGAGGACCTGGCCTGGGGAGAGAGGGTGGCAAGACAGGGAAGGAGTGAAGACACAACAGATACAACCCAACGGGTGCGTGTGTGCCTGTGGCTGTGTGTGTGTGTGTGTGTGTGTGTGTGAGAGCATTTACACCACAAGAGGACGTGTGTGGGGGAGCACAGGGCGGGGACGGACGGCCAGTCAAGACTGGGCAATGCCGCAGCCTGGAAAGGACATGAGAGGGGACAGAAGTGTGGCTCCTGGGATGCATATTTGGAGAGAGACAGAGGTGCGTGTGAAGTGGGGGATCTCATTAAAGTCTGGGGTCCAGGACAGCTGTGGATGTTCGTGTCATACTCACTGGTTCAAATCAGTTCAATATTTGTTTTAAAATTTTTAATAGTTTTAAAATTTTTTACTCCTACAAAAAAAAAAGTCATCATTTGTTTCTTTGATTCACTGAACGTTTTTTTTTCTTCAGGGTGGATGTGTATACACCTGGCCATGCTCAGGGTTTACCCTGGCTCTGGGCTCAGGGTACCACATGGGGTGCCAGGGATTGAACCCAGCTCAGCTGTGTACAAGACAAGATAGTACCAGTTCTAGAATTTCCCTGGCCCCTGAAGGAGTGACTTTCCATGGATGACTGCATAAACATTCCTGGGACATCGGGGTGTGGGTGGGGGGCGGGGAACAGAGGCGATGAGACAGCAGAGGGAAATGGACAAGTGGTTAAATGGGTCATTTATTTTTTTAAATTTATTTATGTATTTATTTTTGCCGGGGGTCCCGCCCAGCGATGCACAGGGGTTACTCCTGGATCTGCACTCAGGAATTACTCCTGGTGTTGCTCAGGAGACCATATGGGATGCTGGGAATTGAACCTGGGTCAGTCGCGTGCAAGGCAAACGCCCTACTCCGCTGTGCTACCGCTCCAGCACTAAGTTGCATGCCCAAGATGAGTGCCTTAAAAAACAAAACCAAAATGAAACAAGAAATTGCTTCCCGTTTTGACGGATGGTTCCTCCTCAAGCCAGGGGCGCCAGTCTACATTCTGGGCGGCTGTGCGTTGTGTGGAGCATAGGGGAGGATGGGACTCTGGTGTCTGTGTGCCCCCAACTTGGGAGCTGTCTCCTGCAAACAGCACCAGGGATGAACCGACCATTTGGGACCAGCTCTGGGGGGCTGGGAGGATGAGCGGATGGAAGGAGCTGAGACAGGCGGCAACCATGGACGCGCAGCAGACCCCAACAATCGCCACTCAAGAGTACAGAGGAGGGGGTCTCCCCGCAACCAGAACTGACGGTGGGGGTGGGGTAGCAGGTGCGCTGTGTCACAGGGAATTACAGCACAGTAGATTTCATGGTCAGGTGAATGAGACCTGTTGTAGTTACTGGTGGATCCATCACATCCTCCAGAACGGCAATGGAGAAGATTATCCATGACTTCTACTCAAATCTCTTCGATAGCCATGTCCACTTGTTGACATACCAAATTCCACAGGATGGATATGTCATTCCCAACGTTCTCCCTTCCAAAATCTGACACGCCATTTCGTCGGTAAAGAAGCAAACAGCACCCGGCCCAGACAAGGTCAGACCTGAACACCTATAGAACCTGCCGTCAGTACTCATCAATACACTGGCTCGGCTCTTCACTCGCTACCTGTCTGAATGCAAGGTTCCGTCCCAATGGAAAACCAGCAGGACCGTACTACTGTTCAAGAAAGGAGACATCATGACATTGGCAACTATCGCCCGATCTGCCTATTGTCTGTCATCTACAAGTTGTTCACTCGAGTCATCCTAAATAGGATTGGCAGAACACTAGATGAAGGACAACCATGCGAGCAAGCCGGGTTCCGCAAAGGATTCAGCACCATCGACCATATCCACACAATAACCAAACTCATTGAGGTTTCTCGGGAGTTGAAGATGCCGTTCTGTTTAACGTTCATTGATTTAAAGAAGGCCTTTGATTCTGTTGAGACGGAAGCGGTCATTGAAGCCCTAGCCAATCAGGGCATTCAAGCCCAATACATCAGGATCCTCTGTGAGCTGTATTGCAGATTCACTACCAGGATCTCACCATTCTACAAAGAAGTGATCGTTGATGTCAAGAGAGGGGTTCGGCAGGGTGATACCATTTCACCGAAACTCTTCAATGCCACCCTCGAGAACATCATGCGACAACTGGAATGGGAAGGAATGGGAGTGAAGATAGATGGTCAGCAACTACACCACCTCCGCTTTGCTGATGACATTGTTTTAATAACACCAAACATCAGCCAAGCGGCACAAATGCTGGCCGACTTTGACCGTGAGTGTGGAAAGGTAGGACTACAGCTGAATCTTACGAAGACAATGTTTATGAGAAACAGCCTCGTTCCTGACGCCCCATTCACTCTCAACGGAACGACCATCTCCGAATGCAACAGCTATGTGTACCTAGGTCGAGAGGTCAACATGACAAATGACCTGGCACCCGAGCTGCGCAGGAGGAAGAGAGCGGCTTGGAACGCCTTCAAGAACATCGAAGAAACAGCTAAGAGGACGAAGAACCTCCGGCTCCGGGCACATCTCTTTGATTCCACTGTTCTTCCTGCATTAACATATGCCTCAGAGATCACACCTGGTGATGTCAGGGGCTTACTCCTGGCGGTGCGCTCAAGGATCACTCCTATTACAGAGAGGAAAGACTTACCTAGATTCATACAAACCAACATAGTGCCATGGAGCATTAAAGAATATACTGAAGGTATAAAAGAAGCAAAGAACAAGCATTTCACCTTACTCATGGTGAGGTGCAATCCACCCATTTGCTGGGGGTCCTAGTCAAAAGAAGCTTAAATCTGTAGCAATAAAGGATACAATTTGACATCATGTTTAAACCTTGACTTCCATTTTCTAAGAGCACTGTACCAGGAGTCTAGCCAATCTGTCCAATATCTTTTCCATAGAGCTTACCAAAAATTCACTAGAACAATTCTGCAGGTCTAATTCAAATTTTTTTTATAACAATACAGTTTGACAACCTCTAGCCTTCTGCACATTCCTTAACATTCATTCCATCCTGTAAAAAACCATCTTCACTTTAACAGGATCCCTTTCCTTTTTCCCGCTGACGATATCTCCATCATTTATCTTTCTGACTTAAGACATACATCTATATTCCTGTCATCCCACAAGTTTGAACTCTTATTTTACTGATCTTAGTTCAACACGATCTCCCAAGTTTGGACACAGCTACCAATAATCTCACTTAACATAACAAAACTGTACTCTGCAGTGCTATTTCAGAAGCATTAAATCAGTTCTAGAGCTATTCAAAAAGTCTTAAAAATGCTCACAATTAAAGCTCTTACAAGGTATATTCACTGGGCAAAAGATCACTTGACATTGGAAGTTAACCAGAAGACGTCTTAAAATTTTGATTTCCAGGAAAAAGATTAAAACACTCCTAAAATTATCCTGCAACATTAAGGATTTCACACTTGTGTACAAAGCTCTCTGGAGATCAGGGCTGGTGACAAGGCTTTGCATGGAATAAAGTTATCAAAATAGTAGCATGTACTTGCAAGCACTGGACATGCTGACTCACAATATAGTTAGTAAAATTTCCCACCTTTCCCATGAAATTCTCCATTTTCAGAAACTATTACAGCAAGCTGACATCTGAGATGAACCCATTTTATAACTCTAGAAACTCATGTTGAAACTAAACCATTAGCAGCCTCCCTGACTTTGCTGGCAACAAAGTCGCAGCACCCGCCTCCTAGGAGACATCCAGGCGTTCCCAGAGCTCCTTTACCACACCACCAGGGCGCCCCCAGGGGCGTGACCTGTGGCTCCCGGACACGACTGTCAGCCACAGTCAGAGAAGGCTCACGCCTCCCACCGACAGTCACAATGCCAGTCAGGACCTGGCCTTACGCGATGGCGATTCCCAGATTTTGGGCGGCTTACTTATTCCGAGAAGAGCCCGTTGAAGACGGCCGGGGCAGCAGAGCAGATCTCGGTGGGACCTCCAAATGTTAGGGTCGAGACGCTCGCCGTCCGTGAAGGAGACTCCAGGAGACTTTCTCATGCAACACGCACAGGGTTTATTGTCCAAGCATGCTGGGGCTCACTACATGTCCCGAAAACAGGACAGAGGCAGAGAGCCCCGAATCAAAGCACAGTGGGATTTTATAACCAAGAATAAACAAAGGAATCTTACAGTACAGCAATCTGCAGCTTTACCAAGAACAGCACGACACTTGCACAAGATGAAATTCTTCGGAACATCTGAGCACACGTCCCCATATCCGGCCCAACCACAAGGTCATAGCAGGGTGTAGGTGGGAGCTACATTAAGACTCTTTTGAGCCAGCTTTTGCAGCTCCAACTTTCACAGCTTTTACAGTTCTCTGGTGAACTCTTTCCTACCACTTAACTCTTTCATGACTGTTAGCCCGGGCGGCCCTTACATTTCCATCTCTGGCCTTACAATAGCACAGGGACTAAGGCATTTGCCTGCAGGAGGGATGTGCTTCATATGCTTCAGCCCCTGCAGCCCCCCAAAGGAACGCTGATGAGTAAGGCTCAGTTTGGGCCAGGGAGAGGGCGCCAAGCTTCGGAAGCTTCTGGAGTGTGGGAGCTGACTCCCACCACAGCTGCCAGGGGAGGCTCTGCTAGCATCGCTCAGCAGCCCATTGCACTGCTGCTCGCTCAAAATTTCAAGATCGACTTAAATTCGTTTTGTCTTTTTAGAAATGTTATTTTCTTTGTGAATTTTTTCAATCCTAGTGAAATACACAGAGTTGATCATGATTGGATTTCAGTCATATCCTGTTCCAACACCTGTCCCTTCACCAGTGGACATTGCTCACCACCAATGTTCCCAGTCTCCCTACTCCCCCAGACAGGCAAGGCACCTCTCTCTCCCTCCTCCTTTCTGCAGTGCTCTCTCTCTACCCCTCTCTCCCTCTTCTCTCTCTCCCCCTCTCTCTGACACACGCCTTTTGGTTTACAATACAGATATGGAACGGTTA